CGCACGTGCGAGACCCTGAGTTCGATCCTCAGCACCACATAAAAAATAAATAAGCAAGTGAAAGGTGTTGTGTCCAACTACAACTAAAATATAAATTTTTAAAAAAATATATAATAAATACACTACATATAAAACTTAGCCTGACAGTCAGGAAGGAATCCCTGGAACCTTATTTCTTTGAATACTTACTTCAAATTAAATTCTTTGGCTACAGGATTGCAGTGACTATGAGCTTAAAAAAAAAAAAAAGCAGAGGTGGGCGTATCATAACTCTCTGATGAATCAGAGTCAGCAAAAGTAGTACCCCCCCACCCCCTTCCTGACACCTGCTGCAGGGAGTAGCTTCAGCAACACAGTGTGGGTTGGTCTGGCCTAAAAAAGGTATAATTAGAAAAGGAAGGAGCGGAAAAGTAATTACTGCTTGGTAGGGAAAAAAAACCCTCACAATCTTGCTATGAAAACTTCAGATATAGCTTGCCTCTGAAATCACACACTCCTCTCCTCAACTACACAACAAATAGTATAAAATCAGGCTTAAAACCAAAGCAAAATGCCAGGGACAGTGGTGTATGCCTGTAATCCCAGTGGCCTGGGAGAGACTAAGGCAGGAGGATCACAAATTCAAACTTAGCCTCAGCAACTTAGTGAGGCCCTGACTCAAAGTAAAAAATAAGGGCTGGGGATGTGGCTCAGGCAGTGGCGCGCTCGCCTGGCATGCGTGCGGCCCGGGTTCGATCCTTAGCACCGCATGCAAACAAAGATGCTGTGTCCGCCGAAAACTGGACTGGAGGATAAATATTGAAATTCTCTCTTCTCTCTCTCTCTCTCTCTTTAAAAAATAAAAATAAAAAATAAAGTAAAAAATAAAAAGGGCTGGGGATATAGCCTGGTGGTTAAGCATCTCTGGGTTCAAACTCTGGTACCCCCACCTCCACCCCCCAAATAAAAGTAAAACAGATGCAGAGTCAGAAAAAGTAGTTGCTATGGAAACTTGTGACAACTCTTCTGAGTTAGCAATACCATGAGTTAAAGGGAAAAAAATCAAAGATTGTAGTTGATCTTCAATTATATTTGTTTATAAAAGTCTAGGTTAAAAAAAAAATTTTTTTAAGTAACATGTTTTTGACTCAAGGGTCAGAGTAAGCTAAATTTGACTGAACATCCATATATCCAGGGGATTTTAGGAACATAGAATCTTAAGGGAATAGTCAAATATCTCCCTTGGCCATTTATGTTTCTGATACCACAAGTACAAGAAGATATAGTGCAAGTCCTAGCTTGTAGGATGAGAGGGGTCATGATGAGAATGTGTTCACATCGTAACTGTTTAAGAAATGCCAGGTACTTTTTAAAATGCCAATATTCAGGATTGGGCGGAAACTTAGCCATACACAACTATAGGAGATATGAGATCAAAAGATTACAGCCAAGAAAATATTAGTAGAGAGAGTGTCTCCACATAATCATTTATACACATTATGAAAATTTTAACTAATAACAACCAACTATGTGCATGTCATATACACTGTTCTAACATAAAATAAATTTATGAATTCAAGTTCTATGTCCATTGTTAGATGTCAATATCTTTTCTCTATTTGCTTATAGAAGAATGGCAGTTGCTTTTTTTAACTTTTTCTGGTAGTTGTAGATGAACAGCATGTCTTCATTTTATTTGTGGTGTGTGTGTGTGTGCATGTGTGTTTATGTGATGCTAAGGATGAAACCCAGTGCTCATATTTGCTAGTCAAGCGCTCTGCCACTGAGCTATAGCCCTAGCCCCAGCAATTTTTTTTTTTT